GATTAATTATAGCTTAGAATTATTATAATTATGCTTGATATTATTTATTATGTTGCAAAGTACTCAAATTAAATTTTTTTGAATTTTGCTGTTATCGGTTTCGATTCGTCTCGAACAGTTGGTACCCGAGAATTATTTGTACTCGCACATTTAACACTAACTACAATAATAATGCATGTATTTTATTATCTATAAATATAGTCGTTCGTAACCACATTTTCGTAAAAATTGTTATATCCATTTAATTTTCAATAAAGAGATATATTTTTTAATAATGGAAGAACACATTTTCTCGCGGAAGTATTTTAACGTAATGACAGGTCGAAGGGGAAGAGTCTGACTAAAAGAGATACCGTAATTATTATATATATATATATATATAACCAAAAAACGTATTCTTCTAAGCAAAGGAATCGCAAGAAAGTAAAACTAATAAGAATGGCATTTCTATAATAATCACTATCATAATACTAATGTTTTGTTTTACATTAGCTCCCGGTCCACCATCTAACGTGTCTATATATATATGTATATATAAACAAATATGTATATGTGTATACATATCGTATTCTTGCATCTACACGCAAAACGCGTGTGAAATGTTGCTATTTGCTTTATTACAAAGGTGAATAGTACCCTAAAAGAACAATTCAACGAAAATGTTCAACTCGCGAAGGACTAGTTATATACGAGTAAGAGATTGATTATCCTTTACGACTACTTTTAGGACCCCCGCACAGCGTCTCACAAGTTAACAGCGTGCACTCGGCTGATGAAAAATCTACGCGCATATCTTTATCCTCCAACATATCCAATTTCGTACGTGCTGTTTTATCGATTTCGTTATTATTTATAATATTAAAGGAAAAAGCTGGAAAAAAGATCAGATTAAGGTCGCTTATCGGATTACAATTAAGGTCGCTTTTAAGTAGAGCGCTTTTTTTTCACGAGAATCATAGAGAGAGTTACGTTTCGATGATTTTTCTGTTAACATTTTGTTCTCGTATTGCAGGAAAATCTGCTTTTCAGATTCTCTGCAGTTCTTTATATTTCTTTTTTAGAAATTTTTATATCTTTATCATATAAATCTTAGTTTGACGATTAAAAACAAATATGCAAGTTTGTTCGTCTTTTTTTTTTTATGAAATCTTATTACTTTAATTTCTAAAAATTATTTGTGATATGACGGATAAAAAAGACAAAGTAAAATTGTTAGGTTTCAAAAGAACACCACATATTCCTCGTTTTGTAAATAATTTTATCATATCTTTCTTTTATTTCAAATATTTATGTAATAATATTTTTTGAAATATTCAAAAAAATGATTTACATAAGTAATATATATATTTTTACTTTTATATTTTCTTTCTTTTCGATATTCATCGTATGTCAGTTTCAGAAACAGCGAAATTGTGTTATCGCTGTTATATTTTTTTTTTTTTTGTGCCAGGATAAAGGATTTTCCAAATCCGGTTGTCTCGATATTTTACGTTCGCATGAACCACAGATTTCAGGTCTTATTATTTGCCATTTCTCTCTCTTATCTTTGTATCTCTTGTCATATTTTGCACCGCATTTTGGCCACAATCGTAAAGAGATTGCTGGTACACGTTATATGCGTTCGTTTTCAAACGTCAGCTCGAAAGCGCATTCTCTAAAATACCTATCAACCTTTATGAACGTGAAATTATTCATAACTTGTTCCGAGAGGTAATTGTCGCAGGTATTCGCACCTGATTATTCATTCGTCACTGACTGACGTCGCAATAGATTTAAAAACGCATCGCGATAAATTTTTTATAAATCTTGATAATATCGCGAAATTATGGTTGCTCAATATAAAACTACAAAACTGCGCCAGAGGGATAGGAGACAACGCGGCGTTTTTTTGTCGATTTTGCCGTTTGACAGAGTGTGCAGTTGGATGCATAAAATCGCGAGAAATGCATCATCTCGTCTGCAATTCAATTTTGCAATGTATATAAAGCTACTCTCTGCCCCGAAGGTACTTCACGTCGAGGAGTAGCATCACTAACCACGTTAATATCGGTTTCCAGGGGCAATTGAGCGAGCTTCGCTGTTGTACGCTGCCACTTGATGACGGGAAAAGGGGGCGAGGGGGGGAGGGAGGGAAGAAGGGTCCATCTAAATATAACATTCCAGCGAGAGCTCGCGTGTATCGAGGCAAACCTGGATAATATCGATCTTTGAATACGCGCTTGCAACGCATGGTACTTGCGAAAATACAATACCCATCGAGAGAACATGGAGGGAAAGTAGATATCTATTGTAGGTAGTCAGACTTTTCCGACTGACGATGACAGCAGAAATTGATCATATGAACAAAAGATTACTTGATTGCATGATAACTGAATTTTAAGTATATATTTGCGGAAGCTAAAGTATTTGTGTATGTATGTATCATTTATGAAGTTAGAAAGAGCAAATTTAAAAATTATATGGGAAATATAATAAAGAGAATATTATAATAGATTATATTCTAAGAGAATAATGTAATGGAACGAGAGTACATGATAAGAAGAATTATCATTTATTAATGTACATTTTTTTTAAATATAATCAAATCTAATCTTTTTAACATATTCTTTTAAGATATGTTGTTAAGATATGTTAATGGTACGTTGATGAACTATTATTAAAAATTTCCGCGACACTAAGTAAAGTTTTGTAATAACTTATAAAGCTCAGAGATAGTAGAGATAAATAAAGCATTTTTATATAACTAAAAGAGATGATTTTAATATTTTATATTAATTAGAATAATCATAAAATAATTATTTAAAAAGATTACAATAAAGGATAAATATATGAAAATACTCTGATATGGAAAAGTATTATTTTGAATATGTAAAAATTAAAAATTAATAATTACAAACATAGGAAAACATAATTATTTTTTTATATCCCTTATTAAATTGTATATAAAAATAATAACAAAACACAAATATTCAAAATTTAACAAAAAAAATATTTAATAATTAAAATATGAATATAAATTTTATTCCAAATCTAGATTTTGTAGGACTTAATCTTATACAGGGTGTTCCAAGAGGGAAGATCAATATTCTGGGAGGTAATGGTATCGATCATTTTAAGGAAAAATATTCATATGAATATTGTTCTATTCCGAATAGTAAGTAATAAAATATATTAATAATTAAATATACTAATTATACATTTTTTTTATCATATAAAAGGTACCATTTACGTTTAAGATACATTTCACATGACGACATAATTAAATATATTATATATCGAGTTTTACATCAATATCCTTTAAGACAATTGTTTATTCTACTTTTATTAATGCGGATTAATAGTTTTGTAAGTACACAATAATGCGATTTTCTACAACTTGTGATGAGTATATTTTAAAACTATTATCAAAAAAATATTCTTTGTGTCAGAGATGACCATAACTTATAAGAAGAAAAGTTAAATTGATTAAATATTAGCATTAAAATGATCTTTTGCTGTGTGTATAATTGTTTTAATAATGCTGTCTACTTTCTTGTAGTATTTTACAATCCCTATTTTATCTTATTCAGAAAGCATGTCAAAAATTTATGTATTGTTTCAAAATTCATTCGATGTTTATAATAATAACGCTAATTAACACTTTGATAGTACTTACAAGAAATTTTCATATTAATATGAATTGAAAAAAGTTACGATACACTAGACAGCTATCTCTCTCGATTGACAGAATCGAAGAATATCATTAATATACAAAAATGTATGATCAAAGATCTGATTAATCAAAATAAAAGTTTTCTCGACGAAAAATATATAATTATTTGCAAATAATTATGTGTGTAATTTTTTATATATGGGGCATTATTTATGAAGTGCTTCACCCTAATTTTCAAAGTTTTCCGATCATATTAAAATTTGCACAAATTGTAGTCATATCAAAAATAAAATCGTTGTCCAAACCTTTTGGTCCGCGAGCAACGGGCTCTCTATTAATAGGGGCTTGAATTCTTGGCCATCGCGTTCAACTTCAAACATCGATAAGTTCCAATAAACTACTCCGATTTTTAAAAAACAGGTAGTAGTTTCTTTTCACGCCCTTTAATCTTATAAAATAAGTTTTTTTTTATAGTCAAAATTTATTTAAGATTTTTGAAGAACGAAATAAAAATCGCTTTTTCTTAAATTTGGACATTTTCGATTTTTTTTTATCTTAAAAAAAAAGTAGGAATCTTCTCCTTTAAAAAGAGCCCAGGATCAAAATGGGCAGACCTTTAGTTTTCAAGATACAGTCCGTTTTAGGTCAGAGCACATCACCAACGGTGCAGCTCGGACACTGTTGCAAGTGCAGACAGATAATCTTGTCAGTTCTATTGCTTATGGACAGGCGTGGTGATCTCTCTCATATATAAAATATATAAAATATTGCTAAATACAAATAGAAAGGGAAACTTAATTTCATCGACGTTATCTCCGATCGATGTTATCTGAAAAATTCAAAATACAAATTTTATAGCTGTAATCAGTTCTTTTAGATACAGTTTTTCAATCATTCTATGATACACACATACTAAATTTCTATATAAATAGATAAATAAAAGAAAATAAATTTATACCAAAATATAATGTCCGGCAAATTTACATTGTGATTCTCAGTAATTTTTCTTTTCTTTTTATAAGTTATGGTCATCTCTAACACAAAGAATATTTTATTAATAATAGTTTTAAAATATACTCATCACAAATTGTAGAAAATCGTATTATCATGTACTTAAAGAAAGAATTTACTCTCTTTTTAAGAATATTTTAAAGATATATCAAAGAGAAAGTTTATATTTGCTTATGATTTGAATGTTTCATGATATATTAATTTAAGGATATTCATTAGATTAGAGAAACACTAGATATGTGTCTTTTAATTGCATGCAACAGAATCAAAAGAAACGAAATATAATTCCAAAACAAGAAATTTATTTTTGTTACAAGTAGATTTATATTTTGTTGTGCACATAGAAAAATAAATATTTTGATATTAAAAACATCTCCTTTTAGAAGTAAATAATAATTTTAGGAAAGTGAAAGTAAAAATTGTTGCAAATAGTGTAAAAGCTCTTATCAAAAAAAAAGAAATATTTCTATTTGTAAATGTGTAGATATTTTTTGACAATTCTGTATAGCAAGCAAATCGAATTACTAGAATCCAGAAAATATTTTAAGTAAAAATATCTTATATATGCTGTTATAAATTTGCGAGAGAAAAAGACACATTTGCGGATATATAAACTTATAAAATATTTTAAACAAATATTAGTTATTTAAATATAGTATGTATTTTTTGGGTGTAGATACAAACGCAGATAATAATAAAAATAATTTCTCTCATGCATCAAATCTGATATGTAATTGAGATGTTATTTATGGATACCGATGAAAATAATAAAAGTCCTTCCCCGTTTTCTTACTTTGAGTAAAATGTTGTATCACTGTATTGAAAAAAGCAATCATGAAAATATATTTATCGTCACATTTGTGGTATATGAATTAATTGAATGTTGAATAAAAAGATAGCAAGTGAAAGAAAAAGAAAAAAATAGTTTTGTTGTTAAATTTGTTATAAATTAATTTTAAAATTGTTTATACTGTAATGTAACCGACATCGTATTTCAGATTAAGATTAAATCTTGTTAAGTTATTTTCAGATTAAGAATAAGAGAAAAGGATGCGAGATATATGAAATGTATAATACATATGCATTGCGTTATACGCATCAAATTAGATATACTGAGTATCTTGGACAAAGTTGAATAAATTTGGCAAGAATACATTATATAATATTAGTCCCATCAGACAAACTCTTTGCGTGAAGGTTCGTAATTAATATTCTTTCATACCTGAAAATAGTGCTATTTCCGATCCCCAGGTTTTTTCATATCGCATTAATAAGGAAAGGGAAGGAAGAGGGAAGTATTAGTTGATAAATGTCTGGTATTGCCGATGAGTACGAACTTCTCAATATCTTTTTGAGAAGATTTTCCTTCCTCAACACAAAAAGAGATTAATATTCTTCCATAGAAAAATTATTTCTGATGGTGGCGCAGTTGTTGAAGTTTGTAACATCGGCTTTATCTCGAACATTTGAGAATAGATCCGTGATTCTGACCGAAATGCTTTAATAGCAATTGCATTATTTTCTTCTTGCACACAAATATGATGAAAGTAACGATATACTGGACGGGAACCATCAAAAAAATAATATGATGGATGTACCGCTTTGTAACATTATTAATCAGCCAAAATTCCCATATTATTATTAAAATCCACTTTATGGCTGTCATAATAAATACCACGATAAACAGTTTTAGATATAGATTGAACCTGTAAGTGAATATATCTTTTTTACATACATTTTCTGAAATTACGATACATTTGATCATAAAAATTAAGCTATAAACGAACACATTCTAAGTAAATGTTATTTCATAAACAAAATGTTTTATTTGAAAAATTATAATTATTTTTTTTTCAGATATACGTAGATATTTAAATAATAATATTATAAATGCTATTAGTTTAAATTAAATTAAAATAAAATAATAAAGATAAATTTCAAACTTAAAGAAAGAGAGAAAAATAGAGAGAGAAAAAATTATAACATTTCTCTGAAAAAGAAATTAAGAAAATTTCGCGCACGATTGAACAGCGACGATGTGTTTGTACAAGAGAGCTTATCGTACTTATAAAAATACATTACCGTAGGTAAAAAAAATCTAAAAAATCTGATCATCCTTCTCTTGGATCGAAATGATCAAAAGTGATTAATTTTGCCGCTGACGAATGAATACAGAGGCACATATCAAGACAGCATGCATCGATATAAAGATGTTTGTATACGAACCATTGCCTGTTGTTGTTAAAAGATTGCCTTTCTGAATTTTCCATATGATGGGTTGTGTCTTTCTCGTAGCGCATGATCTTCAATGCTGTATAGATGGATAAGCAAGTGCTACTAATGACGCTGATACCTTGAGGCCCAAGAAAATACAACCAATATGCCTCATTCGCTGAAATAAAAAATATACTTCTCAAATTATATCATATGCACGTATACAAACAAACATACTTTTACAATTGTCTCTTACAATTAGGCGAAAATTTCTGTCTACCTATCATAAAAAAAAAATTGTTATCGAATTCATAAAGAGCGTTGAATAGAACGTGGATAGACTCCCGGCTGGTATTCATCTTGCAATCAGATAGATCTTTCCCCATAATCAATAATCTATCCAATTCCATCAATCAAAAAACCGCAAGATAAATTTTTAATTAAAACTTCGACTATTACGAAGAAATTTATTCGTGAGAACTCGAATGTTGTCTTTACTAGAGCGGATAAAGGAAATGTTACCGTCGCTTTGTACAAAGACAGATACATAGAAAAAATGACTAGCATGCTCAGTGACACTGATACTTACATATTAGTTAAAAAAGGTCCGACAAAAACATTAACCAACATTGTCCGAAAAATGCTCACGGAATGAAAAAATAATAATTACATATCGGAAAAATTATAAAAATCTTTATATTGCTCGGACGGTTTGCTTTCAAGAGCCTATAAATTGCCAAAAATTCATAAACCGGACTGCCCTCTTAGGATTATTATTTCTTCGAAAAATAGCACATTATATTCTCTGGCGAAATTTCTCTGCAATATTATTCAAGAGTCTATACCAATAGCTAAAAGCCACGTTTCGGATAATTTTTAATTAGTAGAAAAATTTAAAGACACGTTTATTGATGATCATTATAAATTAATTTCGCTTGATGGTGTGTTTTTGTTTACTGACATACCATTAGACTTGGCGATGTAGATAGTATAGCTAAAAGATGGATACACATTAAAAAAAATTCGGTATTCCGAGGGATGAGTTGTTATGAGCTGTCCGGTTGGTATTAGACTCCACATATTTCTTTTTTAATAATTTGTTTTACCGACAAACTTTTGGCACACCCATAGGCTCTCCTCTGTCACCGATCATTGCGGATTTAATGTTACAAGATTTGGAGAACAGAAAATAGAGCGATCGCGATTTTACCGATTAACCTGCCTTTTTACGTCAGATATGTAGATGATATCGCGTTAGAAGCTTTCTCCTTTATGCTTAAAGATGTTTTAAAAACGTTCAACTCATTACACTCGAGATTTCAGTTCACGATGGAGGAGGGCGTGGACAACAGACTTGATTATCTTGATGTCACCATTATTTTTAACAATAGCCTAGTGGAATTCGATTGGTCCACAAGCCTATATTTTCCGGAAAATACCTAAATTTTGAAAAGATGACACATCTAATAAATTTCACAAAAATGTAGTGTATAAAATTTCCTGCAACAATTGTGTCTTATGTTGGACAAATTCGCAGATTTTTAAAGACGAGGACACATCGGAACCACATAAACAGGAATGCGACTCAACATTCAGTCATTACGGATTACAGACTGTTGAATCATGAATTTAATTGGAGATTTTATATGAAAAACCGATCCTGGAAAAAAGGCTAATATCTGAAATGGCCTATATAAAGAGACAGAAGAACAGTTTAAACTTGCAGAGTGACACTGAACAGTTCGACTAAATATATATCCCAATTTTGGAGAGTATGTGAGAGTTTTGTGCGCCCTTATTTCCTTCCGTATATATACGTTACTGTCTGGTTTTATTTGTGATTTAGCGTTACATTATAAGATCACTTGTACTGTTTTCTTTGACAAGTGTGTCTCGTTCCCGTGGTTTCCCGCGCACTTTTACGCTTTGATCTGGTGAGTCACCTTGTCTTCGGATTTTCGGCCAATTACATATCATTAATTATTTGATAATTTAGAGATAGCATGCATGACATTTGCATCATTACATCCTTCTCTCAACGGCTGGAGCCGATGAGGGTTGGCTCTGTTGTGGATCTATGGAGGATGTCGGGATCTCGCGTGTGCTAGTTCATAGGATATTTTTTTTTTATTAACGTATGTATCAATTTATAACTCCAATTTTCATGTAACCTACATTTTCTTGTGATCTACTCATATATTTGTATTCATTACAGTTACTGAAGATGGTCCGAAGTGGACCAAAACGTCTAATAAAACGGCGCCTTTAATTAATTTCATTTTTTTAATTTACATCCACATCACACATATAACAGCGCTTATAATTAATTTTATTTGTTTCTTGTTTTGCATCTACATCACACATCCGGCTCTGATTGGCCTTTTTTATTATTGACTTTAAACATATTCTTACTTTTGATATAAATTCTCAGATTTATCAAATTCAATCATAATTAAATGTGTTGTTAATAGAGTTACGTTAACAGTGACATATACTCACTATGAAACCAACATTTATTGATGCCAAATTCTGGTTGGATCAAGTTTTTCGGCACTCCGGGAACGAAGTCCATCATGATACAGATGATAGTAAGAATGAAGGGACCTCCCCAAGCAATGGTGGAATATATGAACTTTTTTCTCTCTTGTTGTTTTTTTCCTTTTTTTTGTAACGACCAAAGATCTCTGCAAAACATATAGTTTATACTTTACATTTAGCCAGTGACAAAACAAATTGCGATGCAAATCATACATCATCATTGTACATTAAAACGAATGTGCCTTTAATCAAGGATCTTGAAAATCTGTTCTATGTAATTATAAAATAACGATTTATGGTATACAACATTTCGACACGATAAACTACCATATATTCAAATATATCGACATTTAACCAACATGAAATCAATTTTGATTTAGCAGAATGTTTGATTAAAAAATTAGAAATCGAATTTCGTTAAAGAACTGTGGTCTTGTATTATTACATAAAAAGAGAAAAAATTAAAACAATATCGGATTAAAATTTATAAAATATTTAAAAGAGAATAAAAATTACAAAAAATAGTTTGTATTATTATGTCGTAAATTATCTTACAATTTAATAAAATTTTATTAATAATTTAAAATGTTATTTTTTTTAACAATTGAATGCACTCTTATAAAATAGAGATTAATTATTTGTTTTGGAAAAATAAGATCTGATAGAAATTTCCAATAGGAAAAATGTAGTATAAATAAGGAAAATATGCCATGTCATGCAAAATGCCACCGCTCCGTAATTTTTAAGTTTTTTGATAAAGAGTACCACCTTAATCTACGCAGTTGATTGCATTTGGTGACGAAACGACAGTGCGCAGTTGTTTCTTTGTGCAATATTTTTTAAAATTTATAAAATATTTAAAAGAGAATAAAAATTACAAAAAATAGTTCGTATTATTATGTCGTAAATTATCTTACAATTTAAAAAAATTTTATTAATAATTTAAAATGTTATTTTTTTTAACAATTGAATGCACTCTTATAAAATAGAGATTAATTATTTGTTTTGGAAAAATAAGATCTGATAGAAATTTCCAATAGGAAAAATGTAGTATAAATAAGGAAAATATGCCATGTCATGCAAAATGCCACCGCTCCGTAATTTTTAAGTTTTTTGATAAAGAGTACCACCTTAATCTACGCAGTTGATTGCATTTGGTGACGAAACGACAGTGCGCAGTTGTTTCTTTGTGCAATATTTTTAAATTAATCAAAATAAATTTAAAAAATATAGCTTAAATCTTATTTTATAGTATTCAAAAGTATAATATTGTTGCTATGTAATACTTATATCTTCAAGTGTAAATGGATCATTATTCTTAGTGAATCAAGTAACCTATTCGTTACAAACGTGTTTTGTAATCTTCTTTATTTTTACATTTAATGATTACTACGTGGGGTAAGATGTTGCATTTTATCTGGAGAAAATGACAGTTCTCTCTCTCTCTCTCTCTCTCTCTCTCTCTCTAGCATTTCATCCCGGAATGCATGTAGCAAAGTCAAATTACTTTCTGTAAAATCTAATCGCAACAAGTATAAAAGGTTAGTGTTATTCAACTTAATATAGTTATAACTATGTTAGTTATTACGTAAAGTATTTTTTAACTTATTTTGATTAATTCAAATATATAGCATAAAGAAACGAATCTGTATCATATTGTCACCTGCACTAAACTGCAATCAGAGTATATTAGTGATATCCATTATCAAAATACTTCAAAATTATAGCAGTGTCATTTTCCGTATCCAACAACTGGGTGAGATATCACATTCACAAGAATTTTTTTTTGTTATTGTTAAAATAATTTATATAAAAGGAGGATTATAAACTCTTCTTTAATTATAACAAAATATAAATATAATGACAAAAATATCAATTTGTGTTTTATGTTCTTTAATTAATAATTACAAGGATATTTCCTTTCAAAATTAGATATAGCGTATTCCCCCGAGTTACTCTATACGTTTTAGATTAGAGAAACATAGCCTACATCTGTATTAAAATTGTCGTTTCTCGAGCAAAGTAGTTGTTTTTATACTCTCTATCAACATAACACGACACGATAATATATTTTTTTTCCGATCAATGCAAAATATCATGACAATATTCGTTTTAATCTTTATGTATTGTTGTAAATATAATCTGATTGCGCATACATTTATACATATATATCACAGATGATAATTCATCATGTCGTGTCTCTTGTATAACATCACAATCTTATAAAAATAAATTCACATTATAAATAAAATATAGCATGAAGAAATATACTTGACAATTTTTACCTAAATGTCCACCACATATCGCAACTCATTACACTTAACCAAAAATCGCTTGTCAAATTGCAGAAATACTTGATTAGAGCTGCAACAATGAAATAAACAACTTTAAAATGCCGCTAATTGACAAGTATCACTATATCTCTGTAAAAGTCTATACTAAACTATACAAAATGTTTTACTTTAGTTATAATATTAAATATTATAATATTAAGTATTTATAACAAGAGCAATATAAATAATAAATATTACTTTAACTTTTAAACTAAGGATTTATAACAGAGAACAATATAAGTAATAAATACGTACTAATATATTACGATTTAAGAGAGACATAACTCTGCAGAATTTTAAAAGCCCTATCATATAGATATTTATTCAAATAAACTCAAATTGATTATACGTTAAAGTACACAAAGCACACATAATTTCAATTTTAATATTAATGCTTGAGTTTTTAAAGTTTTAATAATCTTTACATTCAAGTTTTACCGTTAAAAAATAATTAACAAAAGTGTACACGAATAAGTCTAATGTATACATTGTATTGACTGCATTATTATATGATTTGTATTGTACTGTACCGCTTATAAGGCAGATGGAATACGTCAGATCTTTTACGTTGAATAGATAATCAATAAGTACGATCGTGTGAGCGATAAACGCCAAACTGATAACTCTGCGCAACATGAAACTATGTATGTTACAAAGCTCTGGCAGTATGGAGTACACCAAGAATATTAAAAACAAACACAGCATAGACACTATATTGCTATAGAATAATATGGTTAAATCAATTGACAAGAACTCATTAGCGAGATCTTTTCCGATCTTATCCATTTCTTCAGAAAAGGTTTCATTCATAGCCTTCAAGCAGATAGACGCATTAAACTGATCATCATCCATCAGACAATAGATTGTTAATTGAATAAATTCAAAATAAGGATAAATAGTTCCATTATGGGAATAAATGTTACGTTGGCGCGGATTTTCAACAATCATTGGACAAAATTCGTCTACTTTCTTATTTTCATTCTGCATCGAATCGTTCGAATAGTTATATACATTCGAGAAAACAAATTCATTTTCTTCAGCAATGCAATTCTTATGAACCAAGCAATTATTAAAAGGACAACAAAGTATGTGAATATAAGTAATATTATCACAAATCTCGTGTGGAATAATGTGATTTAACAATTGTGATTTTATAATTTTTATTTTTACTTGCACGTAATTATCTTCGTTGTCATTTGTATAATTTTTACGCAATTCTGCTTTTTTGTCATAGTTTCTCTTGGTGTCCTCGTCAAACTCGCGCACTGTCAAATTATCTTTGTTATCGTCATTCGTAGAACTTGGTTGCAAAGCTAAAGATGAAACGATGAGTAGAAACATGCAAAACGTGAGAATTTTCCAACACATCGTCGCCTTTTTAAATAGATTTTACTGTCTGATTCACAAATGATTTCAATTAATTAACAGGGCATCGTTTAACAGATGGACCATGCTGAGATATGAAGGCTGTCTAGAAAACTGATGTTCTCTGAACAAACAAATCTTCTTAATTTCGGTTGTCTTTTAATATATAATTAACTTTCTTTTTTATTATCTATATACAATTAATCTTTCTTTTATTATTGTAAAAACTTGTCGCGTTTTCACACGTCGTGAGCGTAAATTTTTCTGTCATGCCATCGTGAATCGAAAAACAGACTAAGTCGAGTTTATCTCGAATGTGGCTTTAAATAATTAACGAGACGATGCTCGACCGATTATCAGAACTCAAGTGAGCGGGTCGGCAAGATATGGTAGATGAAGTAATACCCTAAAGCATGCCATTCACCATGTTGTTCTCTAGAGAGAGGGAAAAAAACGAGTCGTGCGGCGGAACGCTGGTGTTCCATATGAGCGACTAACGCGTTGTTCCGGGCGTATCCGTGCTAATTCGCTTAAATGCTTAATTGTTTAATTCCATTTAATACGTCTGCTTTCCGAGCGACTCCGTCTGTCTCCGTTTATCTCACCTTCCTTTCTCTCCTGACTTTTCCCACACGCTTTCTCACTCAATCGAGAGACGTTCGCGTCAAATTTACTGGGAAGAAGCTTGTTGTTCAATGTTCAGCAATTGCAGCGATACGCGAAGTACGAAAGTTCAAACGCGAGTGATATCGTCGGACACTGTAACGTTTTGGCCGATAGGAATATTCTTGTCCTAACAAAGAATGAAGTTATTTTTATGACGACTTACAAGATATGTATTTGCAAAAGAACGATAACAATAAATAAGCACCTTGATAAGACAAAGCATTGATTTGCCGAGAACAATATCATTATCAGCTTGACAAAAAAACTAATTTTGTTGAGTCCTACAATTTGATTTTTGGAGCTAATAATTTAATAATTTGCTACATAACGAGATTGGTTATTTCCATTTATTTAATTTCAACAGACGGTAAATTTTTTTCAGTTGTTAACATACGTATGGATCCGTTTAGTAGTAACGAGATTATTATTATGCATAAGTTCTGAAGAAAATTTACTTTACATTTTTATTATCAACATTATCTGTAAAAAATAATATAAGGTTATACTTAAAAATAATTAGATAATTAATTAGTATTTTAAACAGTTCTTACCAATTTTATAAGAGGAAACTATAATTTTTATTTCAATTTATAATTAGCTAGATATGCAATGATTAAGATAGTTTATGAAGCTTAAAAAATGTGCCATCTTTAAATTTATTGCATCATACTTTTTTTTGATTAAACATTCTGGCCATAAACATTCAATAATTTAAAGATGAACCTCATTTTTATTCACGCCTTTTGCTAGAGATTGTACATACATATTATGTCTAATCAACACTTATATCCGGTTATCGGGCTATTCTTGTACATCAGAGTCTTATAAATAAGAAAAATTCTTTTGAGATAGACGTATTTTCAGTGCAGTACAATGTAATTACTCTTGCATGCAAAATTATTACGTAAATGAATTATATGCACGTGTCGCATAATAAATACGCAATACGCAATGTAGTTAATAATCTCTGGAAAATTTCCGCTGTTTTTTTTTATTCGAGGATATTTTGATTAAACCTTGATTAAATCAAACGTTTCTTTTGTAACATTAAAATTGGATCAATGAATTAAACAACACTTTCAATCTCTTTGTAAAATGTATTTTTTAACTTTAATTATAAACTTTAGTGTTGTTATTAAATTCTTAAAGTGAATATTGTACAAATACTGTCTAAACGCTATTAAGAAGCTAAACGCTTCTTATTTTTCACGAATGTTTCCTTTATATCTGCAATCTATTACTGAAAATAGTTAATGTTCATAACAAATAAAAAAGAACATTGATGATGCACGCGAAGCGCGCGCGGCAGAGAGAATCAAGAAAGTGTGAAGCGAATAGTGTTCTCTACTCTGATTGGTTTCGTCATTTTCAAATCAACTCATATATGTATATATCAACATATATATATTGATGTTGTGTGATGATAATTGTGTGTGTATATGTGTGTGTGTGTGTGTGATAAATACTCTTACTAAAATATTATCTGAAAATGGCGGACTTCTAATGAATCCGCTTCACTCTCCCTTGATTCTCTTTAGCTCAAGGTAATCTAGTAATGTAAATAATAATATAAAACTACGGAATCGATGAATAATTGACATTGTTAAAGATAGTTTATCTAATGCTGTAATACTTTATGCAGGTGATTCGAATAATAAGCCTTGTGTGTTGACAAATTTCTACAGACAATAACTTAAATTCGATTCAATGATAAGATAAGGGTAATTATGCAGGTATAGAAAACCACCGATTTTGATAATTTTGTCGTGATATTTCTAATATTTGCGAGACATGAATCGACTTTAATTTGAAAGACAATAGGTTAAAAATGAAAAGCGTGATTAAAAAAATATTTTTACGCACTGTGAACTGTTAATGCATATAGTTTGACGAGAAACATATACTAAATATCATCGCATACTACAGATTTGTAGATAGTTTAACTTAATAAAAATTGAGAAAAGACAAGCAAACCTGTATATGATAGATTGCTAATATTTTTGTTTGTGGTAATCTATTAAGTATTTAATATTGATTTCAACAAGTTAAAAAGAATTAATATTATAATGAATCTTTGTTAACATATTACGTAATTTTAGACTGAAAGGGCTCGTAACATCTCTAAAATTTGCGTGACATGAATTGACTTTAATTTGAAAAACAATATATTAAAAATAAAAGCATGATTAAAAAAATATTTTCACGCTCTGTGAACTTTTAATGCATATAATTTGACGAGAAACTATAACATATACTAAATATTATCACATACTATAAATCTATAGATAGTTTAACTTAATTAAAAAGAAGCAAACCTGTATATGATGGATTGCTAATATTTTTGTTTGCGACAATCTATTAAATATTTAATGTTGATTTTAACAAATTAAAAAGAATTAGTATTATTTATGAATCTTTGTTAATATTTCACGCAATTTTTTTAATTTTAGCATGGATTATAACAGAAAATATTATAAAATCCATTTTATATTCTACTAAATTTTTATTAAGAATTTATATCTTGCCTGGATTTAATATTAATTAATATTCATTAATATCTATTTATTACGCATTTTTTAAAGCTTAACAAAACATGCACTTTAAAACGTCTTCAAATAATATACATATATTTATTGCATTTTTAATAAATAAAAAACTTTTTATTAAAAATGTATGTGCCGCGGAAGAAAGGCGTAAAATATTTTAACTTTTAAAGATTAAATACAAAATTATCAATTTTTACATAAATATTTTAACTTATCTTCATATATTTACTATGAAAAAAGTGCAGTGCAATATATTAAAACTAAGTCAAAATTTACAATTTAATAACACCATAATAGTAAATAATTACGACTTACTGACGCGCATAATATCGTTTAGTGCAACGATTGAGAAAAGACAAGCAAACCTGTATATGATAGATTGCTAATATTTTTGTTTGTGGTAATCTATTAAGTATTTAATATTGATTTCAACAAGTTAAAAAGAATTAATATTATAATGAATCTTTGTTAACATATTACGTAATTTTCTTAAATTTAGCATAGATTATAACAGAAGATATTATAAAATTCATTTTATATTCTACGAAATTTTTATTAAAAATTTATGTCTGGCCTGATTTTAATATTTATTAATACTTATTAATTACATATATAA